GCCCGTATACTGAATCTTCTCATTGGGTTCGGGCCGGGTCGGGTTTAAAAATATTTTTTGCCGGGCTCATGAAAGCCCGGCCCGACCCGCCCGATTCCAGACCCTAATTATGATTACTAATTATTTTCGTTTAGTGAGTAAATATAGACCAAATTTATTAGTATTGGTTCTTAATATTTTTCGTTAAGACAATATTTTCTTTTCATATTAATTCAGATTGTGAGTATACAATACATTATTAATTTAATTAATTTATATATTTAAACTAAGAAATAAACTAATTAATTTCATTTTATATTTAGTCCGTGAGTATCAAGAACATTTATTAATAATTAAATAAGCTATTCAAGTTTGTGAATATTTAATTTTTATTTGTTCATATTAATTTAGCCCGTGAGTATAAAGAGCATTTGTTAAGTATAAATTTAAAATTAACTATTAATTGATGAATATTTTATCTGCACTAATTTAGTCCGTGAGTATAAACATTAATTTATAGTTATTGTGAAACATAGTGATATGGGCCGACCGGAAAATATCGGCCGGGTATCTTCGGAATGTATAAATAAGACAACATTGAATACGAATCTCTTATTAGGATCATAAAAAAGTGATTGAATCGAATTTAAATAGCTTTCAATAGATGCTTGAATGGTAGGAAAAGTTTGGTATCTTTCGGAATTTTTCAAAGTCATTCATAAAAAGGTCAGCCCGAGCCGGCCCGGGATTTTTCATCGGCCCATATCACTAGTGAAGCAGTTATTGACGATTATACTATTTTATCACTTTCGTATAATTTACGTCATCAAATTTAAACTTCTCTTTCCTTTTTTGCTTTCTTTTAGGATCAAAATTTTAAGCTATAAAAAAAAAAGACGATAAATCAGTGATGGCGTAAACTGTACAAATATGAGGTTGTCTAAAGCTAGGTAGTTTTTAAATTGATTACTAACAAATTTGTAAGTTAAAAATCACGTGATATATAAATTATACCTGGCTTTAGACGATCCCCAAATATGATAATTTTTAGTGCAATCGTCAATAACATGGTTGCACAATAATTAAATATATATTAACAACTTAAAATGTACTATATATTAAATTTATAAAGTTTAATTCATTATTTAGTGAGTGAGTATAGAATACATTAAGATTTAAAAAAATCTGCGATTTAAGTTCATAAATATTAAATTTCATTTGCTTTGCATATTTAGTGAGTGAGTATAAAATGTTTATCAAATATTTAAAATAGTTATTTAAGCTTAAAATATTTACTTTTATATTAATTTAGAAGGTGAGCAAAACATATTAAATACTTGAAAATACGCCATTCAAACTTGTTTTATTTAATTTTGTTTGTATTATTTTAGTGTGTAAGTATTCAAGTAATTATTGCATATTTAAACTATATTATTCAAAGTTTATAAATATAAATTTTATTTAATTTAGTATGTAAGTATTAAGAATATTTAAAAAAATAAGAAACTCAAAATGTTTTAAATTTTAGAATTTAATTTCATTTTATTTTATTAATTTTAGCATGTAAGTATTAAAATAAATGAGAAACTCGAACATTACTTGATGTATTTGAAATATGTTATTCAAGTTCACCAATATTTATTCGTTTTTATATTTGTATTAATTTAGTGAGTGAGTATTAAAAACCTTTACCACTCAAAATTGGCTATTTAATTCAAGAATATTTACTTATTAAGCAAATCATATATGAATTATTTATATTGATCTAGACGGTAAGAATAAAACTTGTTGCATTAAAATTTCAAGATCATATAAATTAATATGTAATAACTATTATGAAATATATAACTAAAAAATACGTACTAAAGACATTCTGATTATGGAAAATGTACACATTGTAATAAATATAACATGGCTACAGTATGGTGTCTGACATGTGATCCTGATATAATAATTCAAAAATGGACAAGTGGAAACCAAGATGTTGATGACTGCATGAAAAACTTTCAATTTAGAACTAATGATTATGAACGTTTGATAGAATGGATTCCATTTGATAGACTAGATAATGTTAAGAAAATTGGTGAAGGAGGATTTAGCACTGTATTTTCTACAACCTGGTTTGACGGTATACGCACGTTTAATGGTAATTCAGGTAATTATAAAACAGCACAAAAATTATCTAGCACAGTTGCGCTCAGACCTTGTCTGGTTCTAAAGAAAATCATCTTGATTATTTGAACAAAGTAAGTAAATTGTTATTATTTTATAGTTTATTAAATGCCTACTGAACTATATTTAATTCATTTATATAAATTTATAAGTTTAATAATCATATGACACGGTAGTCAGCTTAAGATATATGGATTAACTCAAAATATAGAAACTAATGAATTCTTGATGGTATATCAATGTGCTAATTATGGAAATCTTCATAAGTATTTAAGATCAAATTTTCATGATCTTACTTGGATGACTAAATTAAGTTTACTTAAAGATATTGTATATGATTTATGGAAAATTCATGACGCAGGATATACTCATGCAGACTTTCACAGTGGTAATATTTTGCAAGTTGAAGATATTAGTGAACGTATGCAATCTTACATCTCGGATCTAGGATCGTCTAAAAAGCATAATGGAAACATTTTAGAGGGTAATATTTATGGTGTTTTACCTTATATTGCACCAGAAGTTTTATTAGGTGAAAGGTTTACACCAGCTGCTGATATTTATGGTTTTGGAATCATCATGTCAGAGATGTCAACTGGACAAAGACCATTTGATGGTTATCAATTTGATATTGGTCTTGCAATAAAAATTTGCAATGGATTGCAGCCTGAATTTGCATCTGGGACACCTAATTGCTATGTTAAATTAGCACGGCAGTGTATGGACTCAGATCCACAAAAACAACCCGATGCTTATCGGGCTTGGCTTGAATTTTACAATTGGAATAGAAACATGGAAGGTTCGGATAAGACAGATATATATAAAATTAAAAAGCAATTTTTAGATGCAGATAAAATGGTTGAAGAATTACCAACTATTAAACCAAAACATCCAGACTATATGTATACGAACAAAGTTATTAGCACAAAAAGAATATCAGAAGTCATATCAAAAAAATGTGAAGTTCCTAACATACAAATTTAATCAAAATTTAGTAATATTATGTGGATTTACAGTAATCAAAAATTTTGGCACAAAATAATTATTTTAATTATTTTAAATCTATAATCTTAAAAACTATATTTGAATTAATATTAATTAGATAGGTTTTAAAAAATTAAAATTTTAACCTTGCTTTCAAACAAATGATGATTTTTTATATATAATGATCCCCTTTATGGTCACCTCCTCTATAGTCACGAAATTAATATAATCACATTTTTATTTTTACCAACTTTTTTATATTATTTTTACCCTTTTATAAGCACAATTGTCTTATAGTCGCTATCACATTATTTTGTTAACCGATCATATACGTAACACCTATATAAAATTACCCTCTATAAAATCACAATAAATAGTAGCTACACAAAATTGTTGCGCTAAACGAACGTGAGCTTAATTGGAAAAATACAATACAGAATAGTTTTATATAGTTTGAATTCAGACAAATAACTATCGGATATACTACTAAATACAGCATAATTATCCTTCCTATCCTATCCTTTCTTAATCCTAATATTTACCTGGTCATGCTGATGTACCCCCAATGAAATTTGATTTGCTGTGCTAAATCAGTCAACTTTATAAGGATAATGATCATCGCTAAACTGTAATTATTATTATTGTGGCATTATCGTTTCATAATCAATGTCGCGTAATTGATCTGGGATTAATAATCAATTGGAAAAACGACCAGTTATTCTTATTCACATTCTTAGTTGTTGTCTATGATTTTCAAGAGTTGACTTTTGTTCATTATACGCACTTTGTAGATGTTAGATTGAATAATGTCAGTAGCATATCAAGTACTGTGTATAGTCAGAATAGTAAGGCTTGGAGCAGAACTTTATACAATAACTCACAATAGAAACCAAATAATTCTAGTGCAAATCAACTCAACCTTAACAAACCACATATTGTGATTATTAGAATAGTGAACAAGTTTTGTATGTGTTTTTTTACAGTAACTCATGAAATAAATTCTAGCACAAACTAACTCAACCTTAATCACATATTGAAATTATTAGAATAGTAAGTTTTGTATGAGAATATTTTTACAGTAATTCATAATACAAATAATTCATAATAATATATATAATTTCAAAAATCTGGTGTTTATATATTAAAAAACATAAAAAATTTGAATTTATTAACAAAAATTAAAATTTCATTAATAAAAATTAAAATTGTATTATGTTTTTCTGTATTTTTATTGGATAATTAGGTTATACTGCAGCTAAAAAATTGGCACCAATATATAAAATATATTGGCTTTAAATAGTATTAAAACTATACTGATATAACTAATATTGAGAAAGCTATTGGTTAAATAAAATTTATATTACACTTAATAGTTATACAGAGTTAAATAATAAAAAAGTTAAAATACTATAAAATATACTAATATAATGATTTTTTTATACATATAATAATAATAATAATATAATGATTTATATTCACTCTTATTGTATATTATTTTTAAACATGTTTAACAATTTTTGTTTAGAAAAATTACTTTTGATATTTTGTTTTACGCTCAATATTTTGTTCTTTTTGAAAACAATGCCAAGAAGTATATTATTTTTTTTACTTTGTATTATATAAAAATTTTTATTTACTTTTGGTATTAAGAGTGAAGGGTTTTAATCTTTGAAATTTTTAATTTATAAATCATATACTAGCCTATTGTCTTTCAACTAAAAATTCTATTTATTTTTCTGGCATATAGAATGATAGTATTGAAAATATATCTGATTTAGATATCATTTTCTGGCTCAAAGCAACAATCAAAGATATAAAAATCATTTATATTAAAAAAAACAAATTAGCCCTTATAGAGAGTATTAATGGGATTTTTGCATTTTGAGACCCCAGAAATTGTAACTCATTTCTTCAATATTGTTGAAAATTTAAAACCCATAGCTAGACCAAAAAACAAACTGTTTATATTTAAACCAGGCTGAAGAACTGCTATATTAGATATTGATAATGACTTTAGCACCTCTTTTGATACTATCTTTTTTGACACTATCTCTTCTAATCAAAATGATAACTCTACCAGAAATAATGCTAATACCACCTCAGATTATAATAATAATTCTAATAATAATCCTAGTATTACTAGAAATAATGATGATGCCATCTTGGATTATAATAATAATTCTTATAATAATTCTAGTATCATTAGTTAATGTCACCTCAAATAATAATAATAATTCTAATAATAATTCTAGATCACTGAGAATAATGCTAATAACACCTAATATCATAATAATAATTCTAATAATAATCCTAGCATTACTAGAAATAATGCTAATACTATTTCAGATTATAATAATAATTCTAATAATAATCTTAGCATTACTCTAAATAATGATAGTACTATCGCAAATTATAATAATTATAATGCTGATAGGATTATACAATTAATAATTATGAAAATAATAATTATAACCTATATGAAAACAGGTATGAATATTTTTAATTATATTATATTATTATTTTAAGGATAGATAATTAATAAACATATCTTTTCTATAAGCGAAAACTATTAAATTTTTGCTAACTATTATATCTAAAGATCATATTAATATTTTTATATCAAGTGAATTGTTACAAATAGAATATATATTAAAGAAAAAAATTATAGTAGTAAAGCAGTTATAAAAAACCTAATAGTCAGAAAGCATATTATTAAAATTAAATTACTATTAAAGTAAGTGAATCTTTTATTTTATTAATAAAAATAATGTAAATATTTTTATTAATTATCAAAATATTATAAATTTAGAATTGATTCTAATGAAGCTCCTTCTTCTAGTATCAAAAGAGAAGAGCTGAAATTAATACTAAAAAAGATAAAGCTAAAAAAAACAAATAAAACTTAAACTATACTTATTCTCACATTTTGCAAATTATCAGCTTAAGGCTTTGCTAAATTTGAAATATGATGTTTTAAACATAAGAAACTTTGTGATAGCAAATAGTTAACATATCAAGCCATACCAAAATTTAACTAAACCAAAATAATTAAAAAAACTCCAGTTTTGTAAAAGATATTAGTAGTTTTAGTCTTAAGAAAAAAGATAGAATACAAAAAAATAATCTAAGTTTCTTAGCATAGCTTAGCACTTAGCATATCTTGGTTTATACTACTTCACAAAGAATATATTTTTAACAAAAATTTTAAAAAATTTGGAGATTTGTCTTTGACCATGTATTGCAGATTACCAAAAGTACAAACAAATACATCACTAAGTTTTAAAACAGAAACAAACAAACAAACAAACACAAAACCAGATTTGAATACATGAACAAACAAATAAATAGATAGTATCTCAACAAATAAACAGATCCAAATACAACTAGTACATATTCTAGAAGTTTTGAAGCAAAATTAAATCAATATATAGAGTATAAGCAGTTTTATAGAAAAATATGAAGATGAAATTAATCAAATACTTGTTTTTATCCTCACAACTATAATTACAAGAAATATATAAAGAATACAAACTGCTTATACTTAAATAAACATAAATATAGCAAAATATTTAGGATATAAAAATCCAGAATTTATTATAGCAATATATGACACAATAGACAACTATAAGTGGGTAGAAACTAAAAAAACTTAAAGCAAAGAGTTTACAATTGAGAAACATATATTTTTAGAGAATATAACTAAGATTACAACTAGTATCAAGCAAAATAAACTAAAAAAAAGAACAGTACAATTATGCTATAAGCATCAATAGAGTTTTAGATACAGTGAAAACTATAAAAGAAAAAGAGACTGTAAGAACAATATAGAAAAACTTGGGTTTAAAAAAAGAAAAATAGTGTTAGAATTAGGCTTGCAAAGATAAATTTGAATAAAAGTAAAATGAAAATTTTAAAAGGGAATAATATAGCAAATGTAGAAGAAAAAGTGTCTTTGCTATATACAGAATATGGACACACTGACCATAGTATAGAAGTAGCCAAAGAATAAAACTCTTTAGTTAAAAAAATAGAGATACATAGTAAAGAGGGTGAATCTGAAATTCTAAAAAAGAAAATAATATTCATAGCTTCATCTAGGCACCAAAAAATAATCTAACTCAAGACAAATCAACTTTGAATAATAGAAAAAGGTTCTATTAAAAGAAGAGAAATTTAAAACTATACTCAACTATCTGGGATCTTCTCTTTTAGACAAACACTGCAAGAATTAAAAGATGTCTAAACCAGTATGATAGAGCTGAAGTAATAGAATGGCATAACTTAAAAAAACTAAAGTTGCTTTTATTAAAATTATATATAGAAGTATGGAGCAAAAACAAAATCTTCAAAATGCATGGGCATTACATTTTGAAAAAGGAAAAATATGTATATTTACACAAAAAGATTTGTAGCAGATGAACTAAAAATTAGAAAAAAGTTTAGAATAGTATTAAAAAATATTGTACTTGAATTAGTGCTTCTGCGACAGCTTAGAAGATTCAAAGCTAAAATAGTCTTTATGCTCAAGAATAGTAATAATAATCCAAAAAGAAAAGCTTTGGTTTATTTTGCATCTTTAGAAGATTTTCTGACTGCTAAGGCATTGACACTATACTATTTTTATAAGAAATTAAAGTAGAGCAAAAATAAAAGCTATGAATTAGCAAAAAGTGACTATGATAAAGAAAATATAAACACATCTAGAGCAGAGTTCAAAATTAAAAATACCAATAGTATACACTCAAGACAACAATAAATGAAATTTTGAGCCCAAAGATTAACTAGCAACAATAGTAGATATAGAAGCAGAGCTAGTAGTACTAGAAAGCTACTAAAAAAATAGAAAATAGTAAAGTAAACAAGTATGTACAATCAGAAAATAGTTTTACAACCGGGTTTAATAGAGTAAAACTAAGTAAAGAGAAAGGAAAACAAGTGAAAATTAAAAAAAAAGAAAGTATCAAAAGAATCCTAGCTGAATTGCAAAACAAGTTTAGAACAATAGAGCAGCTGCTTGCAATACACTCCTAAAATTTGCCCCAGTTGAATTAAAAAATTTGGATAAGGTAGTACATCTCACTGCTATTTTAAGTGAGCCTAATATAATAAAAACAAGTGAAGAGCAAACAGAAAACAGAAGCCTTGAGTTACTTAATCTAGGGTTTTATAATGTTAATAGTCTTAAATTAAATAAACAAAAATTATTAGCACTAGCAGAAATAGGTATAGAAGAAAAGCTAGATATAATTGGAATTGCAGAAACAATTATAGAGGAAAAGGAAGAGAAATAAATAAATACAAAACCAGAGATAGCATGTTATATTATTGGATATTTGAATAATTTGAATATTCAGACATTTGGACAATATCTAATTGTTCAAATAATTTGATAGGACATAATAACTTTTTTTATTGGATATTAAAAAAAAATTAATGTCGCAGTTGATGCTGAAATTAGCTAATACTAAAATTTTGACTTATTATATTATGAAATTTTAAAAAATTTATGGGCCTTTTTGTTAGTGTTTTTTTTTTAGTATTAGATTAGGGTTTGAGTGTAGAGTTGTTATTAAAAAAGTATATGTAAATTTTAATAAGTATTATAGATTTAAATTGAGACCCTAAATTTTAGCATCAGCCACAACAATTAATTTAATCTTTGCTTAAATTAAACTCAATATTCATTAATACAAAATATCTCTAATTTATACAGTTATCCCCCTCTATAATCACATGTTTTATATACTTAATAACTTTTTTAAAAAATGTGTTTATAAAGAGGTTGTGCTTATATAGAAGTAGTTTTTATGTATTTACTAGTAATTTGTTTTTGAGTATAAAATGTGATAAAAAGAGGTTTTTATATGATATGATTATAGAGGGGTGACTATAGAGGGGGATAACTGTAGTATATTTAAAAGTATACTAATAATAATAACAATTATTATTATTATAAAACATGTATTGTATTTATACTATTAAATAAACTTAAATACTATTTTACTTGTATGTTTATATATATACATACAAGGTTTAAAAATATATATTTGGTATTGCTTTAGTAAAATATGATTAATTAAACAAAATATTGAAAACTGCAAAATGATTTGTATTTCAAAAGATTAATAACAACAGTTAATTTTATTTTAATTTTAAAATAAAGGTATATTATAAAAGAAATTATACAAAATAAAATAAATTAGTCAAGGTCAACACTTTGAATTAGAAATATTCATTAATAAATTATTATTGTAAATTAAAAAATAAAAAGTTTATAAGAAATAAAAATAAAATTAATAAGCATTATTATTATAGTTAAAAGCAATAATTATATTATTAAAATTGTCTAATAAAATTATTAGACAATTGGACATATATCCAATTGGCATTTTGGACATATGTTCAATAATTTTACCAATTTAATTAGCTATTGTCTAATGCTTGAAGGTCAAAAAATTATTTAGACATTTGGACTATATTCAAATATTCAAATGTCCAATTGTCTAATTAAATTTATTTAGATATTGTTCAATGCCAACCCTGTACAGAACAGCAAGAATATATTAATTTTTGGTCAATAAAAAAAGAAGACAAAAACAAAGAGTCTGGAGTCAGAGTGCTAGTTAATTAGAAGTAGTCAAAGCATGTTGAAAGGTAGCAAAATATAGTTTATATATACTTAAAATAGAGTTCTTTTTTAAGAAAGTAGTAATACAAGTCTGGGTACTTTATTTGCCACTCATAGACAAAAAAATTAATAGAGAAACCTAACGAACAGTAATAAGAGAGATCAGTAAAAACAAAATTAACTTATATAAATATATTAGGAGATTTTAATATATTAAGTAGTACAGATTTAAACACAAATAACAAAAGGTATACAAGTTAGAGGCTTGGCAAAATGTTACTAAAGTGGCTTAAAAATAGAGATTTCATAGATACATATTGTTATTTAAATCCCATAAAAAAAATTATATATGGCAGGCAGAAGGCTTCTCATCAAGAATTAATTATATATGGATAAGAGAAAAAATGCAAGATATAGTAAACAAAGTAGCAATTAGTGATATAAATTTGGCAACTAGCAGTGATTATAAGCTAATTCAAGCAAAATAAATACAAGTAGAATACCCAACTATGGAAATCTCCATAAAATAAGAAGGAAAAAAAACAACAAAAAAATTTTTTATATCACAAAGCTATAAAAGAA